CCGCGGACGGCCCCCCCCCCGCCGCACCCCCAACCCAGCTCCGCAATAAAGCGCCGGCTGCCGGGAGGAGGCCGCGGCCTGCTCGCTCTGCCTGCGCCTGTGTGCCTGGGTCCCGCCCGGGGGCCTGCGCCGAGTTCGGCCCCCCGCCTCGCCTCTGCCCTGCGGCTCGAGGACGCGCCAGGACCGGGGGGGGGGGCAAACGCTGTCATGAATAGCGGTCGCTCCCCACCGCTGCTGCGGGAGCCGGGGAGCGATCACAAGGGCACTGCCCTCTTCACAGAAAGGAGCGCTGCCCCCAGGGCTTGGCTTTGGGGCCAGCTGCTCGCTGGGCTCCCACCCAGGCCCAGAGCCCTGCAGCTGGAGGCACTTTGCCATCGGTGCTGCCCTGCAGCTGCGCCACCCATTGCTGTGGGCATGGGCAACGGGCACGTGTCCCCCCTAACGCCGACGCCACCAGCGGCTTTTGCAGGTGCTCGCCAGCCCCATCCTCGCTGCCACCGCCAGCTTCTGAGTCGGGGGGCAGCCCCAGGAGGCACCAGTCGGCCGTGGCTGTGGGGTCGGTTTGGGTTCCTCCCTGGCCCTGCACAGAGGTCCCAGGCGTGAGATCAGCATCAGGTCCAGATCCCTGAGCGTGGCCCTGCCTTGCTCGCGAGCCCTGCTGCAGCAGGATCCCAAGGTTTCAGCCTTGCCAGGGGTCATCCGGGGCCATCCCTGCTCCCTCTGCAGCCCCTTGGGTGCTGGCTGCGCTTGCATCTCAGGCCCAGGCACCCGCCCTCACTCTGGGTCTGGGCATCAGGCCCTCAGACCTCATGGTTTCTAGCAAGTGGCATGGTCTGGGGGCTTTTCTGTGCTTCCTGGAGTGGGTTTTGAGTGGGACGGGTGCAAGGCACATCATAACTGACCAGAGTAGCAAAGCTTCAGGTGGGGTCCCTGGGTGCAGCTTGTGGCATGGTACAAGTTTGTACCACTGCAAAATCCATCTACTGGCCTGGAAAACTCGCATCCAAGAGTCATAAAGGAGTCAGCCGAGGCATCTGACTCCTTTGTGGCACAGGTAAGGCGGTATGGGGGATTCCATGCGGCTGTACAGGGCAACGCCAGTGCTGCCTGTTTACTTAACAAGAGAGGAGTTGGAGAGGGCGCCCTGCTGTCCCCGGCACCCAGCGTGGCTAAACAAGTGTAAAGGCTAATTGGGGACCCAAGCAGCAGAGAATTGGGGGCTGAACATAACAGTGTTGCAGGGTTTTTGGAAATGGGGGGGGCTTTTTGGCAGGCCTTCATCTAGATGGGTTTACAGGTCTGCCTGATGCAAGTAGCATCCTCTCCACTTACTGTCATGCAGATGCAGCAAAGCAGGTTTAGGCGGGATCCAGAAAACACTCCTTCATGTGAGAGAGATGTCAGGGGCCCTTGGGATTTTTTGCCTTTTTCAGAGGCACGGGGGGTTGCTGCAGCCCAGCCTGGGGATTGGCACAGCCTTGTCCCCATGCGAGCCTGAGCCTGGGTGAAGTCCAAACACACTGGCTGCAGGGGCATGCACTTTGTACTGCAAGCACAGGGCGCAGCTGCATTGCCAGCAGCAGCAGATGCTTCTCGAGGGGCAGGGAGCAGCCCGCAGCCCTCCTGCAGCGGGGCAGAGTGCCGGGAGCTGGGTGGGACAGGCAGGGGCTCCAGCTTATGGCTCCCAGGCTCTGCCCAACTGCCCCAGGCCTTGTGCAAGCAGCTGGGTGGGTCCTCCTGGACATTGTGGTTACAGGAACCAGGGCCTGGGAAAAGCCCTTAGCACCCACCTGCAGCCAGTGCCCTGCAGCACCCATCACGGGCCAGGCATGTCGAGGAGCCTTGGCAGTGCCAGAAGGGGCCTGGAGGCTGGTGTGAGCAGGGACCATGGCCTCAGCACAGCTGCGGGTTGCTCTGCCCAGATGTGGGCTGCAGCCATGCTCTGTGCCTGGCAGCCACGCCAACAAGTGCGGGCTGTGGCCATAGCAGGAGCCCAAGTGATGCCTTCTGTGGGCTTAGCTGGTACGTGGGCACCAAGCGTGGCTGCAGCCGAGGCCTCAGTACATCAAACACCCTTTGCAACAGCAGGACCCTGCCAGCCCTCAGCCCCCCACCCAGCGCAGGGTTGGGCGCGCTCAGTGTTTGGCCTGGGGGTCGGGCACATGGCACGGTGGTAGGAACAAGGCAGACAAGGATGGGCCAGACAGGGACCGTCCTGCCTGGAGCTGGGGCTGGACTAGGTGTGAGGGCCATGGGGCCCTGCTGGCCTCGCTCTGCTGTGTTTCTGGGCAGTGTTTAAGCCACGCAGAGGAGCCTGGGACAGTTGTGTAAATGCTGCTGGTCAAGGCCACAGGGATCAGGCCTGGCCCAGCACACGTCCCTGCGTGCGGGGTCAGTAGCCCAGAAGCCTGGGAGGTCGCTGTGGCAGAGCAAGCACGGGCCTTGCTGTGCCTAGAGCAGCGGTTCTCCTCCTCGTGTACCAGGACCCATTGGTAAACATCGAGGGCCAGTGTAGACCCCTCACTCCTCACCTGCTGGCCCCAGCCCCCCAGCGTGTGGAGCAGAGGGCCCCAAGCAGCCCCTTGCAGGCTGGAGCTCTGCCGGCCTTCAAAGAAAAGCCAATTTCCCAGGTTTTTCTCCGTTAAAGGAGAACCCATTTTTAAAACTTGTTTATGCTCATTTATTTTTAAGGGAAACTTTTCATGTCCCAAGTCAAATCAGCCAAATCGCCTCCAAATTGAGTCGTTCAAGAACCATATGTGCCCCTACTACCAGTAAGCATCCTCCACCCCGTCCTCAGGCTTCAGATACTTCCAAATACTTTGGCGGGCAGGCCCAAGTCTCGGGGTTCAGCTGCCCCGGGTTTTGCTTGGCCACAGGAACAACCCGTAGGCTGGGAAACGCTGGCCTAGAGCATCGCCGCCCAGCGCAGCGGCTGCCCAACCTCTCCTTGAACACCTCTGGTGAGGGAGGGTCCCGCGCCCCTGGCCTCCCACAGCCTCCCCGCTCCGACACTGAAGACATCTTTTCCTGATCTCAGCCTAAACCTTTGCTGCAACATCAAGCTGTTGGTCTGCGGCCTTCTGTCAGCAGCAAAGGTGCTTTCCCACTTCCTCGGGGCAGCCCCTCCAGGACCGGAGACGGAGGCAGAGCAGCTGTTGAGCAGCTCCTTTTGCACGGAGGTGTCCCAGAAGCTGCTTGTGCAGCCACATCGGTGTCTCGCCCTTTTTGCTCTTCCGTCGTGCTGGGAGTTTCTCGCTGGGCTTCCAGTACTGCCCCCACCGTGCGCCCAGCCCTCCTGGGGGGCCTCTGCCCTTCACTCTCTCCTCTCCATTGAAGGAGAGCAAAGGGAGGGACCTCACAAGGGCACATCCAGGCGACGCTGATCCTGCCAGGTGTGTGGCTGCATTGGGAGCTGGGTCATGAGGGATAGGGACGTGCCCCAGACCCCGGGCGGGCGACAGGCCCTGTGCAGCAGGGGCTGTGAGGATGCCAGGCCCAGCCCCCTGCCCTGGGCTCAGGCCTGCTCTCACTCAGAGAAACCCCTGGACAAGAAGGCACGTCGGCCCAGAGACCCTGCAGTGCTCACCCCTGGGCGGGGCTGGACTCACTTGCCCCAGGCAGCACCTCTGCCCAGCTTCACCCTGTACCATTGTACCTGGGCAGCTCTGCCCTTTGGTATCAGCCCCTCTGGCTTCCCCAGCTGCCTGCGGTGCCCAGGGTCCCCACGCTCAGACCCAAGGAGCAGGGACAGCAACTCCAGGCTGTGCCGGGTGCCCTGGACTCGCTCTGCTCTGGCTGGCTCGCGCACCAGCTCTGCCATCGCCTTCCCTGGTGCTGCAGGGGCAGCGCGCCAGGTTGCTGGGCTGCATTGATGTAGCTCCCTGCCCTCCTCCTGGAGCATCTGTGGCTGCAGTTGGGCTGTACCCCTGCTCCAGAGGCAGCTGCTGCCAGCAGTCAGCCTGGGCACAGGGCCCTGCTCGGGAAGGGCCAAACTCCTGCAGACCCACGGGCATCCCTGTTAGCATAGGGGGGGGAGCAGCCACACGCTGCCCTGAGCCTGCACAGCCTCTCCCAGGCTGATGGCCAGGCCTGGCTCATGCAGACAGGCACCGGTGCCAGCTGCTCCCCATGCCCGTGCCCTTTTGCTCGGAGAGGCCGCAGCCAGCGTGCCCCAGGCCACTGGCAGCCCCAGGTCCCTGGCTCTTGCCAGGCAGGGTGGGCACGCAGGTGCACCAGGCCCAGCAAGACCAAACGGGCATGCAGCGCCAGAAGCCCCTGCAACCTCCCCCTTGCTTTCCACCCCCTGGCCCGGGGGATGTGCAGGGGCCAGGCTGGGCCAAACGCCTCTTGGCCCAGTTTCCCCTGGTGTCCAACCAGGCCTGGCCTGGAGGCCAGTTTTGCGGGCAGGGAGCAAAGCTGCTTCCCCGCACCCCAGAACGACAGGGCAGCTCCGGCCTTGCCACATGCATCACACCAGCCACAGGCGGGACTCGTAGCGAGGAGCATGTACACCGTGGCCGTGCCCCCAGGCACCGCAGGAGTGCACAGCTGTCCCTGTTGAGCCCCATGCTACAGCTGCACCTGGTACGACAGCAGCACCGGGTCCGGCGCAGGGGTGGAAGGACACAGCTGCTCGTGCCCCCAAGGAGGCCGGCCTCCTTGCAGCCAGGCTGGGGTGAACCTGGGGTGCCCTGGCCAGGGAGCGGACACTGCAGCAGCACCCCGTCTCTCCCAGTGCCCTGGGGCTCTGCTGACCAGCACGGCCCCATAAGCCCTCCCCCCCGCAGGCCTCAGGCAACTCCACGAGGCCTGGGCTGGGAGCCCAGGGGCAAGGCCTGCCCCGCTGCACAGCACCGTGCAACAAGGTGCTGCCATCACACTAGCACCACGCCTGCCCCGGGCCCCGTGGCTCACCTCAGCCTGCAGGGCTGGCAGGACCCTCCCAGTCGGCCACTGACCAGGGACCGCGCAAGGCACTGGGTCTGACCCTGCTGGGAAGAGCAAGAGCCCCTGGCAGGACCCGCTGGGTTTTCCAAGCAGCACCCGTGCCTCCAGGCCAAGCTGGGCTGTGGCCAGCGCCCAGGGCTCGAGGGCAGGCAGCCACACTCCGGCCGGGGAACGAAAGCTTCCTCCTGCACGGCAGGCGTGGTGCAAGCCCAAGGGCAGGGGGTTGCCTGGCACGGCTCCGCGGGAGGGAGCTCCTGCTCCAGGCGGGCAGCGGACTGCAACCACAGGGCTCCCCCATCGCCACCTCGGGATGCAGCACGCTCGTCTCCCATGCACCCCTCAGAGTCTCGCTCCCACTCAGTGCTTGCCCGCACCTGCTGGAAAGGCCTCGAGGGCAGACTGTGCTCGAGGTCCGCGCCGGCCCGACGATCCCTGCAGCCAGAGGTGCGCGGCTCTGGGCTTGTGCCCACCTCCACGCAGGTGTGCGGAAAGGGGCGGTGGCATGGGACGGGAGCCAGGCTTGTCAACTGAGAGCCCAGCCCTAGATGTGGCAGCACAGGCAGGACAGATAAGATTTTATTATTATGAATTTAAATTAAAATCACTTTGCATCTAAAAATGTCTCCCCTGTGGCCGACAGACCAGAACTGATTGCGATCCCGTGCAGAGCCGGCGCGGGGGCCTGGGGCAGACGCACGGGCCCATCCTGCCGGCCGCGCGGGAGGATGGTCAGAGGCCAGGCCAGGCCGTGGGGTGGGGTGGGGCGGGGCGGGGCGGGGCAGGGGGGGGAGGAGAGGGCACTCCTAGGGTGTGGTTCATGCTGGGCAGCTGTGGCTGCCCCTCCCAGACCAGCTGCAGCGAATGGGAGTGGGGGTCCTTGCGCTGGGGAGGGCGATTCCCCTCCCAGCAGTGGGTCCCGTAGGCCCTGCTGCTGGGCCAAGGAGAGGATGGCTTCCAGCTCGCTGCCCCTGGGCCGGGCCAGGCCCTGCAGGTGCCCTGAGGAGACGGGGGGACTTCCAGGGGTGACGAAGCCCTGGCCCCCAGATCCCCCCGAGCCACACCGCCCCCCACCCCTCGCACAGGAGGGGCCCGCTGACCGCCGGAGCATGCGAGGGGCGGGTGGCAGGAGGGAGGACACAGCAATTAAAACGAGCTCTAGAAGGGGCAGTGCCTGGACCGGCCCCTGCACAGGCGGCCTGTGCGCAGCGCGTCCCCCCCAGCAGGCTCCCGGCCTGGGGCAACGCAGCAGCAATCCCCGGCTTCAGCCCGGTGGTGCCTTCACTCGTGGGTGGGGGAGTCGGGCGCGCGCCCCGCTCTGCTCTCCAGGGCCAGCTGCATGCTCCAGATGCTGAGGGGGCGCATGTAGGCCAGCGACCGGAAGAGCTTCCTTTGGCAATAGGCCTCGGGCGTCTGGAAGGCCATGCCCAGCCGCTCCCACACGGTGCGGTAGCAGCCCTCCGCCGTGCGGAAGCCCTCCTGCACCAGGCCCTGCAGCACAGGGGAGAGGGGAGGCGTCAGCGCGCGCCGCCCACCCGGGGAGAAGCGTGGGGACGCACCCGCCGTGCTCACCTCCTGGATCATGGTGGCCGCCAGGGCATACACCACGCCAACCCACACCTCGTTGGACTGCAAGCTGGTGGTGTCCGGGACGCCGTCCGGCCGCATGCCGTTCACGGCTCCCATCGTGCCGTCGGAGAAGCCCATGACATTCATCTCGAAGATTGTCTTCAGTGCGCTGAGGACGTGGCTCTTGGGGAAAACCTGCAGGGACAGACACGTGGCCATCAGCTGGGCTCACCCTGAACCCAGGGTCCCAAGCCTGCCGCCCCTGCACGTGCTCCAGGGACAGGACTCTGCAGGGAGTTCAACACGCCGTGTCGTCCAAGCTGCTGCGCAGCCCAGAGGCAACCATGGCATGCAGCGAAAGCCGTTACCAGAAAGGCCTCGGGGCAACTGGACATGAAGAACCTGCTCCTCCTTGGGACCCGACTTGCAGATTCACCCTCTACGCCGCCCTGCTTCTGATCTGAATGCATCTGGCTTTAACAGGGTCTCGTTCTGCCTTTCCCTGCTAGACTAGGAGGGGCCAAACAGACCTGGCTTGGGTCATAAAGCGGTGGGGAAGGGAGTGAGACGCTAGAAGCCCCCAGGTCAGCTTCTGATGGGGATGGGGACCTCTTGGAGCACCAAATACTCCCAGGACTTGTGCGCAGGGAGGACAGACGTGAAAGCAGCACCGCATGGAGAGAACCAAGTTGAGAAGGATCTACGGGGCCACGCAGGGTCGCGACACGCGAGCAGGGGCCTGTAAGTACCTCTCTGGCTGCAGTGCTGGGGGTGTCAGGCCTACAGCCCCGCGTCTTAACAGGGATACTGAAGAGCCACAAAAATGGGTGGCGGGTTGGATAAGACACTGGGCAGGGACTTAGTGAGCAGCCGCCCTTCAGTTCATGCAAAGCAAACCGACAGAGGAGCCGACTGGCGTCAGTGCCTGCACAGGGAGCGGAGACACGGGTGCCAGAGCTCTCGGCCCGAGCAGGGAAACAAGGCGCACCAAGAAGCAACGGCTGGAAGAAGCAGCTAAACACCTCCCCATGGAAAACAAGGCGCAACCTTTATCAAGTGTCAGGGCTGTGAACTGCGGGAAGGAGCTGCCAAAGGAGGTGGCAGCATCCCCACCTCTTGGTGTTCTCAATTCCCAGCCCAACGCTCTTCTGGAAGAGGCTTCAGGCAAACACAAGTTCTCGAGCTCCGTCCCAGAGTAACCGCTTGAGCCTTGTGGATGGTGCTGCGCTGAGGGCCGGCGGGGACGACCCCGCAGTCAGAGCATCACGGGAAGAACCAGGATTCAGCTGCACCAGGTGCACAGCTGTGCACCTGCACCTGGGGGCCTCGTCAGGATTTCTACTAGGGGCCGGGAGCTCATCAGTTGTCAACCAGAGAAGAAAGACCGTGTGGCATTAGTCATTCGCATTGTACCTATGAGCCACGGATATGATGCAGCCACGAACAAAGCCCGATGAGACTTCAAACTATATGAAAGATGATTAGAGAAAGGCTGGAGGGGGGCTTTTCTCTGTGGCTGCAGGGGACAGGACTAGGAGCAACGGCCTCAAGCTGCAGCAGGGAAAACTGAGGCTGGAGATGTGAGGGAATTTCCCGGCTCTGCGGGGCTCCAGCGCTGCAACAGGCCCCTGGCGAGGCGGTGGGATCCTGGACAGACACGTGGCTGGGGTGGTTTAGTCCAGTGTTTCTCAACCCGTGGGTTGTGAGAATATCTGAAAGGGTCACAAACAAACTTAAAAAATGGATTCTCCTTTAAAGGAGAAAAATGTAGGAAACTGGCTTCTCCCTTGCAGGCTGGCAGAGTTGCTTGGGCCCCCCCGCACACTGGAGGGCTGGGGGGCAGTGGGTTGGGAGTGAGGGACACTGGGTCAAGACTGGCTATTGAGGTTTACAAATGGGTCTTGGTACAAGAAAGGTTGAGAACTGCTGTGAGGGATGATCCTGCCTTGACCAGGGGCTGGACTAAATGCGACACCCTGAGGTCCCTTCCAGGCCCGCTTTGCTAGGATCCCAACACGACCCCAGGACACACGAGGCATTTCCAGGGGAAGCGTGAAGCATTCAGGTCACTGGTGCGGCACGTGCGAGGCGTGTGCGGTTCTAGTCGCCCGCGAGCAGGAGGAACTCAGGCGCGAGCAAGTGCGGAGAAGGGCTGCGAGCGCGATGGGAAACGGACCGGTCTCCACGAGGAAGCCAGAGGAGCTGGGCTTGCCCACCCGGGCAGGGCAAAGGGCCCGGTTGCCACCAGTCAGCACTGCAGGCTGTGAGCGCCTGGGTGGGAGGACAGCCAGCAGGGTTAAAGGACATTGTTGGCACAGGAACAGCTGGGGACAAACTAGTCATCAGTGCAGCTAAGCCCAGAGCCGGAAGACGGGTGCTGCTCATCAGATGAGCGGTTCTGGAGCAGCCTCTCAACCTCAACATGGGGAGGAAATGCCTCCAGGTATCCAACACCAGCAGGCAAGTTTGTGGCGAGGAGGATGACACGGTGCCACAGCAGTGGGGGACTGCGCTCGGGGACTCGGAAGTGCCCCAACGGAGCTGCCGCTAGCGGGTGACCTTCCCCACCCGGAGCCCAGCTGTCCACCGCTGTCCCACGTCAGCACCCTTCTTAAAACACAGGCGTCTGAGCACTGCACGCGGCCCTTCAGTGCGGGTCTCACCAGCGCCAGACAGGTCACCCCCACGTCCCCAGCCTGGTCCCTGGTCGTGCGTCACACTGCAGACTCATACTGAGTCTGTGAGATACCAAGACCCCCAAGTGCTGCCATCCAGCCAGGTGTCCCCCGTTTTGTATTGGTGTTTAAGATTACTCCTCCCGAGTGCAGCACCTTGCCTTTCTCCAGACTGAACCGCATCCTGTCGGCTCCAACCCAGCTTTCCGGTCTGTCGAGACCCTTCTGAATTGTGCTCACATCCTCCAACACGTTTTGTGTCATCTACAAACTTGCTCCAGAAGCTCCCTCTGCCGGCACATGAATCGTTGACAAACACGTTGAACAGCGCCGGGCCCAGGACAGACCCGTGAGACTCCACTTGAAACCGCCTGCCATTCTGACCTGGGCCCATGGCAGGTGGCTTCGAGCGGAGCCTCCTGAGACCGCATCACCCTCGGTGTTCGCGGTCCAGTCCCAAGGGCTGTCCCACCAGGTCTCAGCGATGCCAATCAGACCGCAGTCCTTTTCACAGGCTGCAGCTTCCAACTTGTCTTGTTTGTTCCCCCCACTTCTCACATCTGTGTACATGCATCAGATGCGTTTTGCGCTTCGACTCCTCGCTCCCCTTTTGCTCTGCTTGTTGCAGTCCTGTAGCTCTCCGACCCTTTGCCAGAGCCCAGTTGCTTCTTCGAGTCGTTTCCCCCTCAAGCCCTTCCCCCTCTGGACTGTGCTCTGTTGCTCGATCACCATCCCCCTAGTACAGCCCTTACTAGGTTGGCCAGACTGCACCCCAAGATGCTCATCCCCATTCTCATCAGATGGACCTCATTTCCTGACAGCAGCCTTCTTCCCAAGAACATCCGCCCATTGTTGAAGCAGCCAAAGCCTTCATGTCGACACCACCGTCTCAGCCACGCGTTCACTGCCTGGACCCCCGCCTTCCACGGGAAGGATCGATGAGACCACCACTCGTGCTCCATGCTCCTTAATCCTTCTGCCCAGAGCCTCGTAGTCGCCTCTGATCTGGTCAGTGTCATTCCTGGAAGTATTGCTGGTCCGTACAAGGGCAAGCAGGAAGGGGCAGCGGTCCACAGGATGGGCGAGCTTTGGCTGTCTCTCTGCGACGTCCTGAATTTGGGCGTGACAAACTGGATGACAAATTGGTGGTGCTGTGCCTCGTAGAAGGGAGTCACCAACCACCCTGCTCTTCTCTTCCTTGTTGGTGCCGTGGTCCAGGAGCCCGTCCTTGGGGCCGTGCACTTCCTCTGTCCAGGCCGCTGCCTCCCTTGCCTCGTGCCTGCAGATGTCCTCTCCTCTGCCTCTTCCTCAGCAGCTCCACCGCAGGGTTCGAAAGCAATTGCTGACTTCACTCCATGCCTCCTCAATCCTGGGGGCCTCCGTCTTTTAGTCACGTGCTGCCACCTCCTCGCTGCCCTTTGGCCTCTCCAATACCAGCCTCTTGTAACTCTTCTCCAAGTCTTCTTCCTGGTCCTGGGTGCAATGCAGCGTGGTGGGCACCCTTGCTTCCAATCTGTGAATCTTCTCCCCTCAGGGCACACACCAGCTTGCACGCGGTGCAGATGAAGCGCTCCTGACCCTCCGGGAGAAATACGAACATGGCACAACCCACATAGGTCGCAACAGCTGACCCAGACTCCATTTGCGCCTCCTTTGCTCCCTGGAGCGCACCTATGCTGTAAGGATAAAGAGAGAGGGAGGAAAACAACACAAGAGCCTGCACGCCAAGCACCTGCACCAGGGTCCTGGTGCCACGCTCCCACCTATGCCCGCAGTCTCCTGCTCCCCGGCTCCCTCCTGGGTGAGCTCCTTGGGCAGACTCCTTCTCCATTCACTGCCTTTTCCCAGAGGGCTCCTGCCAGCCTTTGCAGACTTGTCCTGTGTTCCTGGGCCCCAAGTGCAGGGCTCTGCCTTCCAGAAACAGTTTAAACAGGCCCAGCAAACCGGGCAATCCAGACCAGACCACAGAGCTGCCCTACCCCTGCTCTCTTCCATCCCTGCAGCCTGCATGTTATCAGCAACTACTACAAATCAGCAGTGATCTTTACACTCGCTGCCAGATCACTGCTGAATAGTGCTGGGCATCGTGCTCATTGCAAAAGAGCTACTGGAGACATCCTCTCGGTGGGTGTGGATTTCCCACTGCCAGCAACTCCCCGAGATGTGCTGGGTAGCCAGTTCACGCTCCGTTTGAATGCCTGGAAAGCGCACATCAACCGTTCTGATTACAAAATCAGCACTTTTTGGGGAACCAGGTCAAATGCCTCCCAGAAATCCCAGCCAGCTACATCTGTGCAGTTCCCTCTAGCACCAAACCTGTAACCTCCGCGCAGAACCCGACTGGCTTAGTTTGACGACCCCTGCTTTTCCTCAGCCTGTGCTACCAGTGCTAATTATATGCACAGCTTTTAATTCCCCATCAGTTGAGTCAGCTTTTCCATTATTTTGCCTGGGACTGGGCCAGGGCTGCAGTCACCAGGCTCGGCCTGCTCACCCGTCCTGAGCAGAGGCACACAGCAACTCTCCGTCAGCCCCCGGGGATGCCTCACAGTTCACAGAGTTATTAGATACTCATTTATTTGGGGTGGGGGAAGGGAGGAGGAGGGTCACCTGCAAAGCGCCTAAAAAAAGAAGAAAAGGGGAAAAAAGAGAGGCCAGCACGATGATGTTGCTCTTAACAGGAGGGAAGTGACAGCAGGCTGAAGCTCCTCCGTCCGGCTCCGGGAGGAGCGACAGCACCCCCAGCGTGAAGAGCACTCCTGCGTGTGTGCGCGTGTGGGGAGGGAGGGGTTAGACAGACTTTTCCTCCAGGCTGTTATTCAAGCACGCACCCTTCAGGCCCCGGCGCCTGCCCCCTTCTCCAGAGCCTGCCTCAGGAGCCCACCTGTTCCGTCCAGCTGAGCTCACTCAGGCCATTACAGAAGTCCCCGAGCCCTTCCCAGCTGTGTCCAGAAGCCAGGCCAGCCAGCTGGCTGCAGGCGCCTGGTTCCCAGAGGGACGGATCGCAGCCTCGCACAAAGGCAGAGATGACCCTAATAGATGCTGTGCTGCTACTGGACTGAGAAGTCCTCCTGCTTCTTCCCAAACACCGACCGCTGCTGCTTTCCTGCTCTGTCGTCAAGAATTTCACCACCCTCTTGTAATGGGGCTGACGCCTTTCCACCCTTCATGCCCGTGTCGACCGCTGCCTCCCCACACTTCATCTGCACTGCTACACACGGGCTTATTTCCAACTGCTGCCCTCACTTCCCCTCCTTGCCACGATGGGCTTTAACCACAACTCGCCCTGCGCAGCGGTGGGGCTTTGGCCATCTGATAACTGGTTCTTAGATGGCTCCCATCTTCGCTCGCATCTTTTCCCCCCAATGAATTGTACTTGTAATTTTCCTTGGCTTGTCATGCATATCGCTGTGCTGAGAACAGATACCCACAGGAGACTGCTAGAAACTGCACGGCTGTAGCTGTATCCTGCGACCCAGTAGGTAGCTGGCGTCCAGCTAGAGCAGCCCAGGGTGCTGCTGGCTGCCCTCCTCCTGCCAGTGCCCAACGTGCAGGAGGGAGCTCTTGGCTCCCTTTGGCCCAGTCCCCTGCGCTCCTCTGACCCACAGCAGCCAGGACCCAGGAGGCCGCTTGCAGCCCCAGACATTTCCCACCCCAGGATGCAGATACTTGCCCCAACAGGGCCTCACAGGGGCTCTCACCTCAAACTCCCCTTGGCCCAGGCCGCAAGCCCGGAGAAACCACTGGCCTGCACACTGGTCCGACATGATGCTGGTGGAAGAGATGCCCTTGCTGCTGTCGTAATTGTAGTATTTGCCTGGGGAGTGAGAACAGAGTCAGGCTCCTGGGCTGCCACACCACACCACACCACACCACGACGCCATCAAGGGTTGCTCGCACACAGCCTGCATCCCAGGGTGCAAGACAGAGGCTTGCCCCAAGCAGCGCAGCGCAGCGCAGCGCCCACCGCGATGGGCTGGGCTCGGCACCCTGCCCGGACGCACCGTTCCACAGCAGCCTCTCAAAGGCCTCCGAGCCCTTCTGCAGGATGGCGCTGTACTTGTGCAGGACCCCGCCGTCGTCCAGGATCTCCGCCATCTTGCACATCATGCAGACAGCTGCCAGCCACAGGCTGCCACAGTAGGCACTGCCAAAGCAGAGGAGATGAGGCCAATTTGCTGGTGCCCGCTTTGCCCTCCTCCCCACCCTGTTTGCATCGGTGACTTGGTCACCTGCCCTGCCCCGGCCCCCAGGATGCTCACCTGGCTCCAGTTGCCACCCACGCGTCGTAAGTCTGGTCGGCAAAGCCAGCGTTTTCGATAAGCCCGTCGTTGTCGGTGTCGAATTTCAGCTCAGAATCCATCACTGCCTATGGGACGGGCAGAGTCTCAGTCCTGCTTCCCTCCCACTGCCCTGCCAGGGCCCTTCTCTGTTTCCAGAGAGGACGGGTGTCTTCCGGGGGAGATGAAAGCTCATTCCTGCCCCGCTGCAAGCTGCCTTCCCCCCACGGCCTGCTCCGCATCGCATCGCACGCAGCCTGTCTGGGCTGAGCAGGAGCGGGCTGTACCTGACAGACAGGCCACATGTCCCGCAGGTAGGTGGAGTCGTGGGTGAGGTAGTAATCGCGATACACCTGCAGCACAAACTTCAGGTTCAGGTCCTTCCAGCTGGCCGTGTCGTGGATCAGGTAGGCGTTGACGTGCTGCCATGGCTCGTCACCTGGGCACCAAGCACAGGGCAGCTGCCGGAGGCCTCCCGGGACCAGGCGCCCCATGGCTGTGCCTGCCCCACACCCCAGCTGGTCCCCGTCACGGTAGCACCCCCACGTGCCACGCAGCGAGCTGACACGGAGACAGGCTCCCTCCTGCAGAAGGGGCTCCCCCTGGAAGGGCTCCCTGCCATATGTCCATGCACTATCCCCCTCACCCCCCAACCTGTGGAAGTATCCTCCTGCCCACACAGCACGCCTGGGGGAAGAGGGACAGTCCCTGGATCTCCGGAGACGCTCCCTAACAGCCAAGTGTTTGGCTGGGAGCTCGGAGCAAAGGACAGGCTGCTGGGAACAGCCCCATGGGACTCCCCAGCCCTTACACGGGGTAAGGACCCTTACTGGGCTCCCCGATGTCATGCGGCACGACGTTCTTCAGCTTCACTTGGGCCGTCTGCCCGTTCATGAGGTACAGCCGGGGCTGCGTGTCCTCGTTCAGCACCGCGGCAGCTAAGGAGAGCACAGGTCAGCGACCAGGGAGCTAGCAGGCTTTCCAAGCGAGCGACACTCCTGCCATGCAGCACCAAGGGCCTTCCCACGCCCCCACCGCACGCCTGCCTCCGGCTTCAGCCTTCCGCGCAGGGGCTGGCTCAGGTGCGTGGCCCTGGGCTGGGGGGCCAGTTGTGCTAGGACCTCTCCTGGGGAGGGCACGAGACCAAAGAGGCTGTCCCAGGCTCCTGTCAGAGGGCGTCACAGGACCCCCAGGCTAGGCTAGCGCTGCAGACCCCAACCATTACAGCCCAAGGGCCCAGATCCAGAGCCCTCCCCTGGTCCCCCGCCCCGTGGTGCTCCATTCACACAGCTTGGAGGCAGCAAAATAAGTGAAGGCCAGGGCAGGCGGCACAGCAGAGTGGGTCTGAGCCCCTCCGGCAGCCCCTGGGAAGGGGGAGCGGCTGCATCATGGCTGCTCTCCCACCCTCCACGCGCCACGACCAGCTGGCCAAGTCAGGGCATCCTGGTCTCACTTCCTTCCTCTCTGGGGGCCGGGGAGGAGGGGAACCAGCTGTGCACAACCCTCCCACGGGCTCAGGCAGAACCTGCCCTGCTCTCCGGGGTCCCTCGGGGAAGCAGGCAACGGGGCAGCCAGCGGCTTCGGTACAGAGCTGCTATGGCTCGGCGCTCTGGGGCGGGCAGGGGGCTGCTGGGAAGCGGTGCCCCATCCAGGTAGCGGCTCCACACTGAGGGCACCAGCTGTCCAGCTCTGCACGCGTTTCCTCCAGCACAGCTGCTGCACCGCTGGCCAGCGTGTCTGCTGAGGGGCCGGGACCGGGCAATGCTCACCAATGTCGTACTGCAGGCTGATTTCCAGCTTCGGCCACAGCATGACGAGAGCAAAGGAGGCATAGAAGTGGACGTCGTAGGTGTTGTACATGCGGTACTCCTGCCCTGGGGACCCAGCGGAGACCGTGAGGGGGGGGCTGGCCAGAGCTCCCCTCCCACCCAGCGAGGGCAGGGCCTGCCCGCCCTGGGAGCTACCAGGGTCGAGGCAGAGGAGAAGGGTGCCCAGGGCTCAGCCGAGAGGGGTGAAGCTGGGGCAGGCGCTCAGGCCGCCAGTTACCTTCCAAGTACGCAAACCGTCCGTACTCCTGCAGGACGGGGAAGAGCTGCGACAGGCCTGCCCCCCTCGGACCCTGCACGTCCTCTGCGCAGGCCTCTGGGGGCAGCTCCACCCAGAGCGTCCCGCCGTCCGCCAGGAAGTACAGCTCGTTGAAGAGGGCCGACTTGTACCAGGGAGGCAGCTCGCTGCGGGGCAAGGGGGCACTCAGCCATGGAGGCAGTCGTGCCCACAGCCACAGCCCGTGCCCCCCTGCGCAGTGAATCGCTGGGGGTGGAGCACGCTGCAAGGCACACACACTTGTGCAACCCAGCCGGCAGCGTGCAGAGAGGAGAGCAGACGGCCGAGGGACGCACAGAGCCCCGCGCCCAGCTCTGGCAGCTGCGCAGCGGGCGCTCACGCACAGCTCAGCTCAGCTCAGCTCGTGGAGCTACGGAGCCGCAGCTTCACCCAGTCGGGAGGGGCGCACGGCTCAGGCCAGCAGGGCCCTGACCACCCCAGGCCTTTCCGACAGCCGGAGCACAGCCCGTCGCAGCAGCTCTGCGCGCCGGGTCCAGGGTGGCCCAGACAGGTCGTGGTTCGAGGCCCCACTCAGCAGCAAAGCCTCTGGGTCCCAGCCCTGCCCCGGACAGCTGGGCTCTGGGGCTGAGGGAACGCACAGAGGGAGACCGGGCCCTGGGAGCCTCTGGGTCTAGCACCCGCCCTCCCACTCCAGGCACGGGGCTCCCGGCCCAGGACGAGGGGAGTGCGGTCGTCCCGTGACATGCCCATGGTGACACTGCAGCCCCCCTCCAACGTCCCTGCACCCACACATGGCAGGGGAGGATGTGCGTCCCTGAGCTTCAGGTCTGGGGGGCTGGCCGGCCAGCCAGCTGCGGGGATGCAGGGCTCTGCCCCATGCTGAAGGGGTCAGCAGCTGCACAAAGCCCAGGTCTCCCACCAAACCCCCTCCGCGTGCCCTGTAAAGGGATCCCTCTTCCCTGGCTCGGAGACCTGAGCTGCCTGCCCAGCAGGCACCCCGCAGCCCGTGCCGTCCCTGGCCCCTACAGACCGCACCTGTCCTCCAGGATGGGCTTCTGCCAGGCCTCGATCTTCTCCTCCCACTGCTCGTAGTGCGTCAGCGCATAGTGGGAAAGGGCAGGGCCAGCGTCGCCGCTGCTGCCAAAGTAGCGTGTGTACCGCCTGTAGGACAGACAGACAGACCGCTCGGCGCGAGCCCGGCACAAGGCAGGGAGCCAGGGGCTGCTGACCCCAGCCTGTCTGGGCAGGGAAGATGGAAGAGCACCTGCCTGCTGCCCCAGAACAGACCACCCGTCCCAGCCAGCACGGGGAGTCTGGCCAGGACCCCACCGCTACCACCGGGCAGGTTTCCACTTCCCAGGGCAACGGGCTCAACCCTGCCCCAGTACCAAGCAGCAGGCGGGGAGGCGGGCCGCTCGCCCCGCAGCAGGGGCTGCGCTCTCTCGAGGCACCAGGCACGGCTGCGGTGCTGCACAGCTGGGACGGGCACTGCACCTCTCCGGCCTGGCCACGGGGCGTCACTGTGAGCCACGGCTGCCGGCTAGGCTGGCCCTGCCGCACAGGATTCCCCACCCTCCGCCTCTCCCTTTGTGCTGAGGACACGGAGGGGCCGTGGGGCACACAGCTGGTGTCTCAAAGCTGAGGCAGCCAGACGAGGAGCAAAACGGTACGAGGAGATACTAGAGTCACTGACGTCCATGCCAGGAAGGACCACAATATCGGTGCCCACTGTGCCCTGTATGAGGCAAGGCAACTGCCCCGGGCTGAGCCCAAGCAGGTCCGTTACAGCAGCATTTCTCAACCCATGGGTCACAACAATATTTCAAAGGGCTCCGAGCAAGTGCCATAAAAATGCACGAAAGCATGGGTTTTCCCTTGCAGGCTGGCAGCACCGCAGCCTGCGAAGGGGCTGCTTGGGACGTGGTGGTCAGCATGCAGCCAGGCAGGATGACGGGAGCAGCCCCAATAGCCGGATGAAGGTAAGTGTATGGGAGCAGGGGGTGGAGGGCCAGGGTGGGTGCGTGTGGCCAGGTGCCGAGGCTGCAGCAGGGCAGGGGGAGGTGCAGGTTGGGACAAGCCATTATCTTTGCAAAGGGGTCCTGGTACAAAAAAGGCTAACAACCGCTGCATTAGAGGGAGAGGTCTAAGTGGCCGGTGCTGGTGAACCCCCCTCAGCCCTGCCCAGGGGATTCTCCAAGGCATTCAACTACAGCACGCGTGGCCACGGGAGCCCAAGCGCAGGGGGGCTGCTGCAGAGGCTCGTGCAGGGGTACACAGCAACAGGGCCAGAGGCACGTTCCCTGGTCTGAAGCCTGCGTGGACTGGGGGGTGGTCCCTGCCACACAAACACCGCCCCGCTCTGGCCGGCTGGGGCTGGGGCGCTAGTGCGGAGCCCCTTGGTGGCATGGGGGGGCAACGGTGCCAGGCAGCCATCGAGGCGCGAGAGGGGGTGAGGGGTCCCACTGACCCACAGGAGGGGGACACGTGGCTCGCTGAGTGCAGTCTGGCAGCACAGTGAGCCTGGAGAATCAGGGCACCCACCTGAGATGCATCTTCTCCTTCGAGCCAAAGTGAATACAAGGCATGTCCCACGCCAGGGCCAGCTCCACCGATCCGTGCCCCCGGGCAGGCACCGTGCACCGGGCACACACGGCCGCAGCAGTCGCCTCCCCTTTCTCTGTGTGGCTGCTCTTGCCTGCCAGGTAAGACATGCACATGCTGAGCAATCAAGGGCTCTCCTCCACCTTGACAGGTGTCCCGTCCCACAGGACAGTGCTGCCAGGAGTACACGGCCTGCTTCCACCTGGCCAAACAGCCCAATGGCACGTGCCCCAGGGAGCATTACAGAGGTGGAGCGAGCGGCGCCTGGAGCAAGGAAGGGGCAGGCAGAGGTAGGAGGCAGCCTGACGGAGGGGTCAGACAGCGGTGCCGGAGCAAACCGACAGTTGCTAGTTCTAACCAGGGGCAAAGGTTTTTGGACCAACTGTATTGTTGGGAAACCTGTTTGACAAGTGCCGAGCACAAAACACCCACCACCTTCACTTCAGCTGCTCCACGCCCCGAAGCTGGTTCAGCATCTCTCCTCAGTATAGTCAGTCCAATAAAAGTATCACAAAAACCTCTTGCCTCTCCACATTTCCTGGACTGCCCGGGCTACAATAACGCTCTGACCCTACTACGTCTAACCCGTACCCAGACAAGTTGTGTGGCAGTAACCTTGTGAATCCTCCGAATGCGCCAGGGGATTCCTAGGCAAACAACACCTAAGGGGGGGTCGGACTCGATGATCTATTGAGGTCCCTTCTGACCCTAACATCTATGAACACCTGGTTAATACCGTTTTGACTTGCAAAAAAATGTGGACGAGGTCCAAATAAATAAAATAAATGCTAAATAAATTCTATTTTAAAAGAATAAAAATATGCTAGAGACACTACAGGTTTGACTTTGTGGCCTCTGCTGTCCTGCTTGCCTTTAGAGGGCAGCGAGATCTCCTACTTTTGTTTTCCAGGCGTCTCTGAAGGAAGGTATCTGGCTGTTCCTGGTGAAAGCCTCCGAGTTAAGGTAAATGGGGCATCAGAGCTGACAGCTCAACAACAGACACTTCAGCTCTGGCCAGATCTTTAACCAGACGTTTGGAGGAGCTGAGGATCAGGATGCAGAAGGATCCTGGAAGTGTCACAGGTGGCTTTGTGGGGATTTCTATTCCTACATCACAAAGCGGGAACCAGGGGGCCGTCAGCAACAGCAGGGATGGGGGAGATCCAGAACGGAGACAAGAAACAAACAGGACGCTGGCCAGTGAAACTTGCTGCCACGGGACGTGGCTGAGAGAAGAAACTCCCAACCCTGGGAAGGCCTAGATGTTTCTGTGGAGTGAGACTGTGGCGGTGACTTAACTAGCTACAGCGATTCCTACAGGGACGTGAAACCCCCGGCACCGTGCGTCCCCACGCCGTACACCGCCGTGGGGCTGCCGCGCTGCTCTCTGCAGCCCCTGGCCCTGCCCACTGCTGACAGGACACCGGGCTGGACGGGGCACGGGTCAGACCGCCCGGCAAGTGCCCAGCCTGGCTGGTGGCACAGCTGAAGGCTCCCTCCGCCGTCAGCTCGGGCACCCAGGCCCACACGCAGGCTGCTGTCAGGCCTCACCTGCCGGGGAGTCCAGCCGTCCGTCCGAGAGAAGGTCTTGCCACACCTCCTGTCCTGTGCCTGCAGGGTTGAAGGCTGTGATGTGGGTCACGCCAGTGCCAGCCTGGAGGGCAAGGGGGGAAACAAGCATTGGAAGATGCAGCCCATCCGAGCAGCGGGGCTGGCACCTCACACGTCTGCCGGTGCTGGAGCCGGAGCCCAGGCCACTGGCTGAGCTCAATGGCACTGCCCTGCACTCTAGGAGAGGAAGCAGAGGCCACAACTCTTCTCTGCCCTGCATCCCATTTGGTCCACCTCTGCCCCCGGCCCTGCCCCCCCGAGCTCATCAGCCGTCAGGCAGCCGCTGGGCTGGGGCCTGCAGCAGCTCTGCCCAGCGCCCAGGCACCTGCTGTCCTTGGGCCCGTGATCAACCCCTGGGCTGTGATCCCGGGCAGCCTGGCCAGACAGGCTCAGACGGAGATCACACTTCCCCAAGCCATCGGGCCTACAGTCCCATCCCAAAGGACACGCGCACACCCTTCCTCCCAGCAGAGTTTAAGGACCACTGAATTAGCAAACTATTCCTGTCCTTGCCATGGCAGGACTCGCAGTGTCCTCATCCCCGCTTTGCCCTGGGCGTCATCAGGCACTGTCCCTGGGCGTGCAGATGAAAGGTGCTCGTGCAGCTTGAAGAACACGTTAGCTAAACTCTTCTATGGGATGGCTTAGACAGGGCTGATTCTGCCTGGAGCAGGGCGCTGGAGTAGCTGTGACCCCCTGAGGGCCCTTGGAGCCTTGCTTACCTGTGACAAACACTGCCGCCCCGGCTGGGCCGCCCCTTTACCTTTTCCCTGGCAGAGATGGCCAGGGTGTACGGGTTCACAGGGATGCAGTGGTGCAGCAGGACGCCAGAGACCCGCTTGCCCTCCTTCTCCACGCTGAAGGGCTCGTTCCAGTGGCCCCCTCTCTTGTCCTCCTTGGTCCCCATGCCATTTCTCAGAGTGAACATGATGGACACGTCCACGTCCTCATCATTTTCATTTTCCACCTCCCAGACAAACACTCCCACAGGCAGGCTGGTGTCCTGGAAAACAGGGCATGCACAGCTCGGAGGGTGCGGCAAGCCTGCGGAGCACACACGTCCCTCGGACAGCAAGAGCCTGCACGAAGAAGGGCCAGCAGAGCGCACGGGGACTGGACCGTGAGGGTCGTGCACCCCAGCTCCACAGGGGAAAGCGCCCATGCCAAGTGCCCAGCTCCCTGCCTGTACTGCCCTCAGCGCCCTGCGGCAATGCAGCCGGGAGCAGGGATGGCCAAGCTAGATTCTGTCTATGCACCTGAGTGTCTCGTCTCCAGCACTAGCCGTCATCGAGCTGCAGGGCACCTATGGGCACAGCAGCAGCTGCAGGGACAGGAGACAGGCCTATGGATCTGAATACCGAAGCCTCTGCCACTGAGCACGGAGGCTGCTGCAGACACATGCCGCCACTGTGGTGCTCACGGGTACGAGCTGAGGGTACAACACCTCTGGCTGCCAGGAGCCCTTGCCCTCACAGTGCTGGGACAAGCTGCCCAGGCCAGTAGCGAGGGGTGGGGATAAGCCCTGGACCAGGGGGGGGTCTCCTCTGTCCTGAAACTCCTGGTTCTGGCACTCGCTCCCACAACGCTGGGTCTTCTTGCCACGCGTGTCCGCCCTCCTGCCCATGGCTGGGCTCTGGCCTTGACCAGTCCAGTGGCACTGCCCTTCACAAGCTGAGAGCACTCCCTTTACCCTTACCCATGCTACACCTGCCATGTGCCAGCGACTATCCGCTTGCTCCTGTCCTAAGAGACCAGAGCAGGAAAGATCCTGCCACACCTCCGCTGTCCCTTCCACCCTCATCACCCGCTTTCAGTCCCAGCCTGCTTAATCCCTCTTTGTTCGAGGGCTCTCCCCATGGCCTGTGCATCCTCTGAGACACCCCTCAGTTCTACCGGTAAACAGCTGGAACTGCCCCTGCCAGGGGGTCCTGCACACCGCGGCCCCCGTCTATGCTCTGGGCAGTCAGAGGCCAGGGCCCACAGCAAACCTGCCAGCCCAGCTCCCCCCAGGCAGGGTGCTGGTTATCTCACCGGCTGCTCAGGGCTCAAAGGAACAGCCCCAACCCCAGCCATGTGCAAAGTGATGGAGGAGAGCCACTGCCAGGCAGCAGGCAGGCTCTCATCTGACTCTCTTGCTGCCTTTAATGCAAGCCCCCGGGGCAAGCCAGGGCAGGAACGATAAGGAGGGACAGATCAGAAGGAACCTGCCAGGAGAAGGGTTCTGGGCCCTGAAAGGGAAGAGATCGTCTCCAAAGGCACCAGGCCCAGCGCCTGGTCTGTGATCCCCATCTCAGGACACAGGCCGCGCACCACTACCTCCTGTCACTACAGGATGGATCTGAACCAGCGCTGTAACAGTGCCCCCGACGTGGCCTGCTAGCCCAGGCCGGCAGCCACGGCCAGGTCCCAGGGCAGCTGAGCCAGACGGTGCATGGCCAGGACTGCTGCCGTAACAATCCTGCAGGAAAGACGGGCTCCCCTCCCAACACGGTGCATCACTCCTCAGCAACTCCTACACCAGGCTCAGGGTCCACTGGGCAAGTATCATCCCGGTGACGGGGACACCAGAGGATTAAGGGCGGATCAGAGAGATGCAGGGGCAATGGCCAGGGAAGGGGCGAGCCTCTCCCACTCACCTGGTAGTCATGGGGGATGATGGGGGTGATCTGCCGGCAGGTGAGCACCACGTCCTGTCCAGGGAGCTGATAGACTGTCCAGGCACGAGGGTACAGGGCATGGTAGAAGGCATAGTGACCGCAGTAGCCCCAGTTCCAGCCCTGCAGGGTGTTGGGTCGCTCCACAGACAGGACCTGCTGGTAAATGGTCTGCCCTCTGCGACGCAAGCAAACAGTGAACTGGGAGGAGACAGCGCAGAGCAATGAGCTGGGAGCACAGGGCAAGCCCTGCCCGAGACCCGAAAGCCCCCAGCTGTAGCAGCACAGGCCTCTCCTCTCCTCTCCTCTCCACTGCTGGCTGCCAGAGCCCTGCTCGCCCTGCTTTCACTTCTCTAGGAGGGGGGAGATGACAGGGGAAGGGAGAACTGGGAACCTGCGCCCACCAGCAGAGACTCTTGTCCTGGAGAGGCCCGGGCTACAGCGAACACGCATGAGAATGCCCCGTGCTACTGTCAGGGTCCCATCACTGGGCCCCGCTAAAGCACCTCGGCCAGCTCCCAGCACAGCTGCCCTCTGCTTGTGCCCGTGCTTGGGTCCGCAAGGTGCTACAGCGTCCTGACCCGCACCAGCGAGGCAGCAGGGCTCGGAAGCTCCTTCACCTTGCTGCCCGCATGGAGGAGGCGCTCCAAAGTCCTGGAGCCAATCTCTGGGCCAGGAGTCCTTCCAAAGGAGCCCCTTGTGCCTCTGCCCATGCAGCCAGGCATTAACCCCAGGACCTCAGCACACCCCAGCTCAGCAGTCCACCCTTCCTCCCCGGCTCTGCTTGCACCCTGGCCGTGTGAAAGAAGCCCCAGATGCTCCCCAGAGCCGCCCACCTAGGCAGAGGTCCTGCTGTGACTGCTCCTCTCCCAGCTTCCAGAAAACTATGGGAAAGGGGCAATAATGTGTTGGGCTGGGCTGCAGGGCCCCCCACTACAGCCAGCCTTGCTCAGGTCAGCTGTGCTCCTGCTCCGAGCCTGGCCTGCTGGTCGCCTCAACACGCAGCATGACGGGAGCTGGCCAATGCAGCCCCAAAGCAGTTGTACAGGGAGCAAAGTGCAGTTAGGCTGCACGTGCAAAGGGAAACGCTAACAAACCTGAGCTGGGCAGGGGCTTTACAGGCTGGAGGCGGCTCCACTTCTAACCTGCTGCACCGCGCCACGCTGCTCTGCACTGGCTGCTCCCCGCTCCCCAGAGCAGGACGCACAGATGCGATGGCAGCAGGTGAGTGGGTGGGACGGTGCCCAGGGGCCCCTCACTCACCTCAATGGGCAGGGAGAAGACAGGGCTTTAGGATGAAGCACCAGGCCCACCAGCATAGGGCAGGGCACCCACCTGGTCAGCAATGACGGTTTTGTAGTGGTACAGCCCAGGATTGAGCTGCCATCGGCAGAACTCTCCCCGCCAGCCTCGTGTGATGGTGCCGCCCCCAAACCCGCCCAGTGGGCATCCTAGCAGAGGCAAAAGGCAGCAATTTAATTCCCCCCTCCGAGACGGAGCCAGAAGCTGCTGGGAGGCTCCTGGGGACAGCAACCCCCCCCCGCCAGCCTCGTGTGATGGTGCCGCCCCCAAACCCGCCCAGTGGGCATCCTAGCAGAGGCAAAAGGCAGCAATTTAATTCCCCCCTCCGAGACGGAGCCAGAAGCTGCTGGGAGGCTCCTGGGGACAGCAGCTTATGGGTTCAGGTCTCCTCTCCATCGCTGTGGTGGGGGAACACCCCTGTCCCCCACCCCTACCCCCACCCCACCCCACAGGAACCTCCAGGGCTCCAACCCCCCAAAAAGCATGGAGGCGACCCCCGACATGACCCAGCCGCCTGGCCTGCAGCAATCCCAGGGTGGCCCCCTCAGAGCCCCCCAGCCTGCCCCAGGGCCCCTCAGCAGTCCAGGCCAATCCTGCCCACAGTAGCCGTGGGGCATCCTCCAGACCTGCCCTGCGCAGCCCCCTCCCATCCTGACCCACCCCACAGCCCCGGGGGAAACGACGGCTTCCCACTTGCTTTGCCACAGAGCCGCTGCAGCCCGGCGGCCATCCTGCCCCGGGGAGACCACCCTCCTCCACGGGCGCCCTGCCGGCCACGCTGGGAGCTCACCATAGATCTGGCGCAGAGGAAGCGAGTTGAACAGGTCAATGAAAGGAGCCTTCTTCTCTACATGCGTCTTCCTGTACCACCACCTCAAATACCTGCCGGGAAAGGGAGATGTGAGCACAGACATTGGGCCAGGTCTGTATTGGGCCAGGTATTGGGCCAGGTGGTATTGTGATACCACCTCCCTCTCCAGCACCCCTCCAGGGCACTGGGCAAGCTGTGGCCTCCCATCCGCTTCTGAAGGGGACAGAATGGCCCCGTGGGAACCGCCAAGCCTGCAAAGAGGGGAAGAGCCCGGCACGAACCCTGCCTGGGAGACTGCTTGGTGCAACGTGCCACTGCTGGGGACAGTCTGGGAGGGCTGTCTTGGGAGAGCCCCTTGCAACCAGGGGTTAAAGTGATGCCCACCCATGGCACAGAGAGCCTGTCCTCTCCAGCGGGACTCAACTACACCCAACACACGCCAGAAAGGTCACCCAGCCCCGGGGCAGACAAGGAACAGGTGTGTCAGCCATGCACACAACACAGACCTGCTGGTCTTCCAAGCAGCGCGAGGTGTCAGCTGAGGGTTGGCTCAGGCCGAACACATGGCAAGAGCCCTGCTGCTAAGGGTTGCAGACACACGCCATGGCCCCAGCGCACCAGACCAAACAAGTGCGAGCCTCTTGCCAGCACCTGCGGTGCAGAGGGAGCCAAGCACCAGGCCCGGTGTGGGCAGGGGGGAACCCAAGGGGGAGGACTCTGGGCTGGTGCCCAGCGAGCATCCAGCTGATGCCCGTTCTGTCCCAACCTCGGCAGCCTGTGGCCCAGGCGGGAGGCTCTCCCACCCCTCAGCACTGGTAGGGCAAGATGAGAGCAGCCAGAAGGAGCCCGCAGAGGTACATCTCAATCACCACCTTGTTCCCAGAAGGCCCCTTGGCGAGGGCACAATGGGAGAATGAGGCCACACAGACCTCAGCAGAGCCCACAGGCCACGGTACACGCGACAGCTAAGGGCAAGGGCAAGGGCAGCGGCAGCTGCGGCCAGCACCATGCAGCAGCTGACAGCCCGCACCCCTGCTTCATAGGCTACGAACCAACCACGCTGGGCGCTGCACATGCAGATATGACGCTGTCCCTGTCCAGGCAGCTCAATCTACCGCACCCCTGCCCCAACCCAACTCCACCGCACCCCTGCCCATGCAGCTCAATCCACCGCACCCCTGCCCCAACCCAACTCTACTGCACCCCTGCCCCATCCCAACTCACTCTGCTGCAAGGTGACCCAGACCTGCAGGCTCCAGGCACCAGGGAGGTGTCACACAGAGCTGCCAAGGGGGGTCGCTCCCGCTCTGGTTACTATCTTCACTGGCTACTCATGTGTTCAGAGGCCAGTCACTGATGCCCTGGGTCCCCAGGGTCAGCACTGAGCATGCCAACGCAGCATGATCCACACACGTGCAGCTTAGCCAATCATCAAACCCACACAGCTGCGATGGAGCAAGTCGCACTGCACCAGGACAGTCAGCATCCACAGGAGGATTCACCCAGTGTAGGCAAAGCCACGCAGTGCAGCTCTTCATGCTCTACTGCACGTGAGAGAGGAGAGCCCTGCTCCTCTCTGGCACTATGAACGAAGCCAGCCTGTGGCCTGTACAGTCCCAGGCCGTGCCAGTCAAACAACTTCCTACCCAAAGGCCTCTCCAGGTAGAGAGAGATGCAAGAACAACAGGGGACAAAACAGAGCAGGGTGCGCCCTTCACAGCCAGAGGGCTGCAGGGGACGGGAACAGCTGTTCCTCCACCTGCGGCATCGAGACAGCAGAACATGCAAGCTGTGCCACCTCTGTAACAGCCAGCACCGCGCCAGCTTTCAGTTAGCGCCTCCAGCCAAGAACAATTAGCACATGGATTATAGCAGGTAGATGGGCAGAGAGCTTTCCTGGCAAGGGAGGGCACAGTAATTTGGGATGAGGCCCGTGAAGCCGGTTGTTGGCAAGTTGCGGGCATGCTCGCTGCGGTGTGCCACACAGTACAGACAGGTCGTTCTGCAAGATGGAAAACGTATTACTGGAAATCAGGTGCCCAGGACAAGTGCAGCCTTGGCTGAACCCAGGAAACACACTGGCAAGCACAGGAAGGGGAGAGAGAGTCCCCTGTGCCTTTGCTTTTGCACACAGTGCTCACCATGGCGAGTGCTTTTGCACAGGGTGCCCAGAACAACTATGGGCCTGGCCACACCTGGCCACCCAAAAGCCTGGACAATACAGCCAGCCTGATTCAGTGCGACACCGAGCCTGGGGTGGGGGGTCAGCCTGGGAGGCCCCGGGGACACCAGAGCCATGCCTGCACAGGGACGCGCAGGGAAGGCAAGACGGGAGGTCAAGCGACGGTGTGAAGTCAGTGCGTCTCCAGGCCTGTCTATGCTGCTCAGTGCAGCCCTCAGCATCGCCACGCTGCACAGATGCCTCTCCGGGGACCTGGCTGCTCCCACCGCATGGCTCCAAGGCAGCTGCACTCCTGGGTTGAGAGAAGCACCCATGGAGCACGCATGGCATGTTGCAGTCCAGAGCTGCCTGGCACCCCAGTGGAGCAGCAGACACGCACCCCAGGCCCTGTAACACACATCAGCATCCCCCCACCGCCCTCCCCCACCCACAGGGACGCTCTTACTCAGGAGCAAAGTGGCTGTAGATCGGTATAGCTCGATGCAGCTCAACCTGGGAGCGGCCACAAAGAAACACAGGCCCACAGAACCAAGGGCCACAGAGTCAGTGCCGGCCTTCGGCAGCGGGCAGCGCCAGCCGATTCACAGGAAGGAGCAACAACCCACACAGGCCGTTGTGGGGCAACAGGGAAGCACCTTCCTCTCCCTAAAGTTTTGTCCCCCTCCAAGATGCCCTCTTCATACCTGGGTCACATGCTTAGTTGCAGCCCTCAACCTCCACGCAGTGCCCTATGGAGCAAGCAAGCACCAGCGTGGAGAAGGCTGCAAACCCCTGGAGAAGGACGCAGAGCAGTCCCTTGCTGCATGTGGTATGCAAGACAGCCCAAGCAGGATCATGCCGACAAAACAAAATGGGCTTGTGCCTCCCCGGTGCAGCCAGGCCCTCTCGCCTGACCGCAGCTCAGCCCCTTCGTCGCTGCTCTCCAGGGGTGGGTGACACTGTCCTCCACAGAGCTTACGGGCAAAAGGGTCAGTAAGACCACCTAGCCGGACTACCGGTGTAAAAGGCTGGAGGACCGTGCCCAGGCACCCTTCCACAGAGCACAGGGACGTGAGCTGGGTTAAGCATTGCCAGAAAGATATCCAGCCTGGATTCAAATCCACGGGAGCCAGAGAACCCACCACCTGCCTGGGCACCACGTTCCAGTAATTAATCACTCTCACCATTAAAGCGTGCTTTGCTTCCAAATGCAATTTGCAGATTCACAAACCAGAATCAACCCAGCTGAATCAATTTTCTTCTGGTTGACAGGGCAGACCCAGCTCTCACTATGTCTCTCCCCATCAGGTGATTTTTCCTGGATCACATTGGTGGCTCTCGGACATTTTGTTTTAGTCCTCTTAAAACGCAGCCACCAGAGCCGTACCCACCTCCCTGCTGCTGCCCACGGCTCCCCCATTCACATGCCGAGGAGCCCAGCAGCCTTCCCTGCCCCAGCACCGTGCTGGGAGCTCAGCCGGCTGCTTGCCTCCCAGGGGCCCGGTCTGGGTCACTGCACTCCTCGCTCCTACGTGCACAGCTTTGCTTTGGACAGGATTTAGGCTCGCTTTGCTGCAATAGCCCAGGTGGCTCTGAGCAGCACCCCATCCTCACCACTACCCGCTGTTCTGTCTCATCCACCATTTTTACCAGCGGTGACTTTGCTTTTCTCTAGCTCAGAGCCTCGGATTGCTCCGGCAGACGTTCCCGGCAGCGCGCTCATACGGAAACGTCCTTTTCAACTCTGGCAAGAGGAAGAGGAACTCGTCTGCAGGCGCTCAGCCAAGGTGCCGGCAGAGGAGCGCCCAGCGGAGGGGGCTAGCAGGGGCGCGGGGCGCTGCAGGCTGTAGACACCGGAGGGGACATGACGGGTCTCTCGGATGGATGAAACGGGGGATGCTCGCAGGGATTTCAACCAGGCAATTCCAGAAGTGCTTGGACCAGGCTTTGGTTTCCTGCCAACTGTTCCAGGTGTCCTACCAGCTCAGAGTCAGCGACTTCCCCCTGCCTGCGCCGCTCGCCCCAATCCTTCAGCAGCACAGCAGGCTGCGCGCAGGGCTGGGACGGCTGTGCCAGGACCCGCCAGCCGCCTCAAACCTGCAAAGGCACAGAAACGTCACGGGGAAGTCTCTCGCCCCTCTCACAGAGCTGTGGGGAGGAATATTTTCCAGTGCTTTGTTTTTCCTTGGGAAATTTACGTTTCTAAAAATTCACTGTTTCATAAAATTCATTAGTAACTGTGAATGGATACCAACACAATATTAGACAAGCTGGGCAGTTTCAAAGCTGTAATTCATGTTTTTCAGGTGATTATCCCTAGGAAGTGTATGAAAAAGTACATATGTGTTTTATTAATTTGTAAACAGGAGGGTAAATACACTTGCATAATAATCCAAACCAAAAATCAAGTTTGGAATTCATTTAATTGGCTGTGCAGGTTGAATCAAAACCAAAGCACGGCATATCATGCACAGCTCTTTGGATGTGCTAAAATTAGTGTGTCAACAGTCTTCAGTGCCTTCGGGGGTTTGTTTGTTTTTTAACTTTAAACAAGCAATGTAAGGGAAGTGCATGCTATTGTGTATTGTTCTTTACATTTTTACAAGTATTCCAATAAAAATAATTTCTTTCCACATAAAGCTGTGAATGTGTTTGAATATAACATTTAAACTACACTAAGTGCACTCTATATTTTTTTTTTCCTAATCAAATATTTCAGTTCAAATACTTGTGGCTATTGGGGACATAATATTAATGTGGGGATACTTTTTTATTTGACATATTTAGTAAACAAAACTAAACACACTAAATCAGATCACGCTCTATTTAGGGCATTGGAAAATTTTCCAATTCAAAATTTTCCGGAAAACCCCCATCTCTGCCTCCTCAACACCACTGCACCCTACAAATAACATGCTCCATGTTCATAAGCATTTGCATTCACCTGCAGCACAAAGCAGCACGCCCGGCTCTCGGGCACACGGGTCTTCGGGGCGATCGCGTGCTGCTGCTTTGTGGCGCACGCCATTAAGGCTCTGCAGGCCAGAGGGTCTGGAGGAGCGGGCGTCCCCGCTGCTCCCGACCTCAACTGCGGGGTGTCCCTCAGAGACACCCCCTATAGATCCCCCATTTCTGCCAGTGAGAAGCATCCCTTCTCAGCTACCTACCTCCCACACCTGCAGCACCAAAGGGTGCAGCCAAGTGTGTGAAATGACACAACCCTGTCAGCCTGTGCAGCCCTTTGCACAGCTTGGGCGTGAAACCTGTGCTGGCAAGAGTCCCAAGTGGCGCACACTCACCACCCCTACCCGTGTCCTTCCCCCAGGGGGTCAGCAGCAACCTCACGAGTACCGCCACTGGCCGATGCGGCACGAGGAAGACACTGGGAGAGCTGACCGAGGCATGTGGGCACAGGGTCTCGCCAAAGAGGCTGAAGCTGCCAACACCACAGAGAAAGACAAGATCCCTGGTTACTGCGCAACAAAGCGTGATCGACATGAACACACGGACCGTTGCACACGGCTCCGCAGTGCAAGGTGACGGCTCCTCCAAGGGCCCCGAGCCGCCTTCTCCATCGGAAACAGGCGCAGCACAGCGCAGCTCTGCCCTGCCCCTGCGCTGCCCGCAGCACATACTGCTGCCGAGGCTTTCGTCCTGGGCTCCCACAGTGGCAGCTCGCGGTTTCCAGCCCAGAGTTGGGGACTGCCCCCTGCACACGAGCTGGCCAGCGGCACTGGCGCACGTCCCCTCCTGGGAGCAGGACAGGGTGGTCGCAGACGGCACTTGATTTTCCAGGTATGCTTCTAAACTGTTCCATGCAGCTTTACATTGGTTTAACAGGCTTGTCTGCTTCAGGTTTAACCTGTCTCCTTGTTGCATGTGTCCATACTCACAACGCATCAGCCTGGGTCAAAAAAGGGAGGAAGGAGGACCCAGGAAACTATAGGCCAGTCAGTCTTACCTCGGTCCTGGGTAAGCTTTTTGAGAGAGTTATCCTGGCGCATGTCCGCGAGGGGCAAGCAGGGGAGGTTATGCTCAGGGGCAACCAGCACGGGTTCATTCAAGGCAGGTCCTGTCGGGCCAACCTGGCGGCCTTCTATGACCAGGTCACCAAATCCTTGGACACAGGGGTAGCAGTGGATGTAGTCTTTCTGGACTTCAGGAAGGCCTTCAACACGGTCTCCCACCCCATGCTCATTAAAAAACATGGGGACCGTGGCGTCGATGCCTACACAGTCAGATGGGTCGCTAACTGGCTGGAGGGCCGCACCCAGAGAGTGGTGGTGGACGGGTCATTTTCAACCTGGCGAGATGTGGGCAGTAGGGTCCCCCAGGGCTCGGTCCTCGGCCCCGCACTGTTCAACATCTTCATCAGAGACTTGGACGAGGGGGTAGAAAGCACCCTGTTCAACTCTGCTGATGACACTAAGATGTGGGGGGAAGTGGGCACGCTAGAAGGGAGGAATAGGCTGCAATCAGACCTGGACAGGTCACAGGGGTGGGTGGATGAGAACAGGATGGGGTTCAACACTGACAAGTGCAAGGTGCTGCACCTGGGGAGGAAGAACCAGCAGCACACGTACAGGCTGGGAACTCCCTTCTCGTCAGCACAGAGGCAGAAAAGGATCTTGGAGCCATTATTGACTCAAAGATGAACATGGGCCGACAGTGTGGGGACGCGGTCAGGAAGGCCAACCGCACCTTGGCACTTCAGGAGGGATGTGGACAGCATGGAGCGGGTCCAGAGGAGGGCCACTCGCATGGTCAGGGGTCAGCACGGCAGGCCCTACGAGGAGAGGCGATGGGACCTGAACCTGTTCAGCCTCCACAAGAGAAGGCTGAGGGGGATCTGGTGGCCGTCTATAAACTAGTCAGAGGGGACCAGCAGGCATTGGGGGAGTCCCTGTTCCCCCGAGCACTGCCAGGAGTGACAAGGAATACCGGTCACAAGCTGGCAGAGGGTGGATTCAGACGAGACATCCGGAGGCGCGACTTCACTGCCAGGGCAGCTAGGACCTGGAACCAACTTCCAAGGGAAATGGTGCTGGCTCCTACCCTGGGGGCTTTAAGAGGAGGTTAGACGAACACCTCGCTGGGGTTGTTTGATCCCAGTACTTTTTCCTGCCACTTTTTCCAACCAACTATGAAACATACTACCCCTGACCTGCCCAACGCCACAGGAAAACTCAGATCCCCGCTGACAATGGGACCCTGCCTTGGAATAGCCCTGCAGCTACCAGGCCCCCTCGAAGGCTGAGCAGATTCAAATGGTTTGTGAACCAGCTCAAAGGGGGATGAGGAGCCCCTGCGATTAGGGAGGGAAGGGGGGTTTACAGCTGCAAAGCAGCATAGTCTGCTACGTCCTTTGGATCAATTCAACACCTTTATTAGCGATTTGGATGCTGGCACAGAAAGCTTCTGGAGCAACTCTGCAAACACTACAAAACTGGGAAGAATTGCAAAGACGTTGGAGGATGCAAGCGCAATTCAGAAGGATTTCAACAGACTGGGAAGTTGGGCTGGAGCCAACAATGTGCAGTTCAATGTGGGCAAAGGCAAGGTGCTGCCCTAATCAAAACCACCAATACAAAAGAGGGGAGACCTGGCTGGGTGGCAGCGCTGTGGGGAAGGATCGGGGAGTCTTGATAGACCACAGACTCAATACGAGTCTGCAGTGTGATGCGGCTGCACAAAAGGCCAGTGCAGTTTTGTGCTGCATCAACAGAGGCATTAGTGCAAGACAATAGTGCCTCTGCTCGGCACTGGTTCAGCCTCCTCTAGGCGCTGCGTGCCTTTCTGGGCTCTGCACTTTAAAGCCAAGTGGAGAAGTCAGAGAGGATCCAGAGGCAGTGACAAATATGATAAAAGACTTGGAAAGCAAGTCACGCGAGGAGAGGTTGAAGGATCTGGGCATTTTCAGCAGGCAGAAGAGGCACTTAAGAGGGGACACGACAGCAGTCGGCAAAATATTGGGAGGGCTGCCGGAAAGAGAGAAAACGCCTTTCCCCTCTTGCTGCAGAGGAGGGCCCAGACCAAGGCCCTGAAGTTGCAGTAAAGCAGGCTGGTGTGGGACATCAGCAACACCTTCTTCACGGTCAGCGCAGGGAGGCAGTGGGATAGAGGCCAGGGAGGCTGGGGGCTCTCCATCGCTGGAGGTGTCAAGGAGAGGGTGGGCAGCCACCGGTGGGGATGATAGCAATGCCTGTGCTCCGCTACGGGCATTTCCCAGGCTTCTGGGCATTGCTGGTTGCCGCATGGGGTGGAAGGGAATTTCCCTCCCCTCTCCCTGCTGCTACGTGTCGCGGTGTTTCAACGCCTTCCTTGGAGACACTGGGTGTTAACCGCAGCCCAGGCTGGGGATGGGGACCAGGCTGTGCCAATGCTCCTGCTGGGACCTGCCCCTCTGCTCCAGGTCAGACTGATCCCATACGGGGGCAGGAAGGAATCTTACCCATGTGGTCAGACTGATAGGGATCGTTTGGGGTTTGCCCTCCTGTGTAGCGGGAGAAGTGGCCCCTACCCAGGACCTCTTCAGCATATATTAGCAACCTTGGGAGCAGCGGGGCGCTGGCTGCTGTGGACCCCCTGCTTTCCCAGTGGCAGATTCAGGTGTGATGCCTGGTGCCGTGTCAGGGCAGATTGAGTCCTTTTGCTGGTCAATGGATTTGTCTGGGACGTCTGGAAAGGGCTGAACCTGCCTCAGGCGGGGGGGCTAGATGACTTCCTTCCTACCTGACTTCTCACCAATGCCACGACTAAGCCCCACCACGGCGCTGAGAACCCCACGGCTCTCCCCCCAGCGCCGCTGCAACTGTACACGGCCCCGGGTTGCGCTGACGCAGTATCACAGGCGACTGGCCCACTGGCTAGGATGCGAGCCTGGGGCTTGTAAATGCACCGGGCAGAAGGGGCGACGTGCTCCAACACTGGGTTGGTGCTCCTACACCGTGTCCAAGTCTCCCCATCACACTTCTCCTGCCAAGTTCAGCAGCTGCTCCAGCTCCTCCCAGGCGGGCGGCGAGATGCCCAGGCCTCCGGCCATTCCCGTCTCTCCAGAGCCCTTCCCACCGGCCAGCACCCACTTCAAGTGTGAGCACCAGACCTGGGCTCGGTGCCCGGTATTGGTCTCGCTAATGCCACACCCAGACTCGGCACCCCCCTGCTGCCACATCCAGCACCGGGCGCGCTCTCAGCCCTTGCGTCGCTTGCAGCTCGAGTTCCTGCTCAGCGGGGCACGCACCGCTCTCCAGCACGGCCCCCCCGCTCTACCTTCTCAGCGCCTAGACACCAGCCCTGGCTTCAGCAGGCAGACCGATCAACACAGGGTCAGCCTCGATCGGTATCTGGACGTCCCCATCAGCAGTCAAAACAGCAGCTCTGTAAACCTGGAAAACCTGCATGTTTCCACCTTTCACGTGCGCTTTCACAGCAGACAAAAAAATCACGCAGCTCTTTTCACCTCTGGGCTGCTGCAGTGCAGCGAGAGCGAACCTCGCTGACAGTACAGTATCGCCAACGTCCGCACGAGCCCCGGCCCCAGCCCCAGCCCGGGGGTGTCTGGCGCTGTCCCTCCCGGCGAGTCAGAGATCTGTTTCAGCTCTGTGAAAACAGGAAGCCAGAGCAAGCCCCACCAACACAGCACGCCGGACCCTCCCTCCACAGCACCTGGCAGCTCCAGGCGAGCGTTTCCTCCTCTTCCTCTGCACTGGCAGTCAGGGGAGGACACCTACCGCGATCGCAGGGAGGGCAAAGTGCAGCGAGCTCCACCCGGGCGGCAGGGAAGGGGCTCATATAAGGAAGCACCACGCCACGGGTGACGAAGCACTTTGGCTCCTCTCCTCCACCCGTGCTGCAGCGGTGAGGGATGGGCGCTGCACGGCCCTGCCGGGGCAAGGGTCGGCATGCCAGGGGCTGCGGGGTGCCCTCTCGCTGCCACCGCTCTGTGCCAACACTGTCTCACAGAGCTCGTTGCAACCCGGCTCCGACACCTCTGCTAGGACTTGCCTGCACGGCTGCTTTCCCCACCTCCTGCCCTGCCCGGGGCCACGCTGCCTTTGTGCGCCCTGCCATTTTGGCCCTGGGGCCGGCTCTGCCTCCGCCCGGGAGTGGCATCGCTGCATCTGCACGGCTCGCCTCTTCCCAGCCACCACCTCGGGACCCCTCCGAGGGTTTCCACACCCAGCCAAGGGCAGGCAACCCTCCGCCTTCCAGGCCTGTAACCCGGGGCTCAGCCGGGCTGGGATGGACGGTGCTGGGGGAGCTGCCCTCGCCCTGGCCGTAGCCCTCGCGCCTGCAGAGGCAGCCCCGCGCTGCGCGCACAGGGCAGGACGACACGTCCTGACCGCAGGCACCTCCGCTCGGACTCGTGCCACAACCCGCGCTCGCGCACGTGTGCACAAGGCCGTGGCACGCACAGCCGGGGCTCGCGACAATGGCTGGGGCCTGGGTTCCCCCCCCGAGCGCCCGCGAGCTGGCGCAGCCCGGGCCCTTGTGCAAGCGGGCCAACAGCGGCCACGGGCTCGGAGGGCAAACGGCCGCAAAGGGCTTGCAACACGCAACTGTCACGCCATGCCACGCTGCCCCGTGCTCCCAGCCTCGCACCCACGACCCTCCTTCGTGGCGCAACACCGCCCAAAGCCCCCCTGCACGCGTGGGGGTCGGAGCCGCTCGTGCCCGGCTC